GGGTAGGAGGGGTGGGATTTCGGGTGTTTGTGTTTTTGTTAGTTTGTTGTTTGTTTTTTGTTGTATATTATGTTAAAAAATAATTTAAAAAATACTTTGAGAAAAAAAAGAATACGAAAACATTGGTGAATGCCACAAATTCTCCTAAATCACTTGTACGCACAATTTAAGAACAAATCTGTGCGTATGAACGGTTCTAGCATGAGGCCCATTGTCCTGTCAGAATTAAACTGGGTTTTTACAAACGAGTCTTAGGACCATTAGGGAGCAATAATGCTTCAGTTCCTCAACCAACTGAAAAGAAAAAGTCAGAGCTATTTCTCGGTAGGAATTTACTGTAATTGTTGTATTTTGCAGTTCAGTAGAAATAAATGATTAATGATTTAATGTAGATGACAACAATCAAACAAAACCATTTCTAACTCAGTCAATTTTAGATAATGAATGCKAAGTTGATGTAGTAGCATAAAGTTAGTTACAGTACATACTCTGAGCATTACCACATGACACACATACACAAATACTATATTTTATATCTTTACAAGGACTTTGCATTGATTTTCATTCATTTTCTATTAATTTCTAGGCTAACTCTGACACTTACCCTAAACCTAACCATCCCCAGTACACCCACTCAATTCACACCATGATGTAGGAAAAACAAGGCCACACGCACGCARGCATGCACGCACACACACACAGACACACAGTAAAAACAAGTACACACAGATATGGGAAATAACATTAGCAACTGCTTTTTAGTGGTGGTGATTTAATGAACTGATCAGTGAGAATGTCAACAAACAGTTTCTGGGAAAATAGTGTAAAGCTGTATGAGGAATATTCACTGCTTGTCGCAGAAAGGGTAAGGACAATAATGATTTTTGCCTTTGTGAGCATGTACATGTGATTTTTAGCAAAATACTTGAACTGTTGGACAAGCTTGAGTGAAACTCAGTGATTAACTTGAAGAAAATTTTGTAAATGATTAACTGCATGTTAGATCCAGTTTTATATTTTATACTTTCTGATCATTGCAGCCTTAAGTCATCCTGGAACTGGAAGGTTGCCGGTTCGATCCCCCGTCCAGCTGTCTCTGTTGTTGTGTCCTTGGGCAAGGCACTTCACCCCTAATGCCTCTGATGTGTGTCCCATCAGTGAATGAATGTGACTGACACTGATTAATCTCCANGTGCTGGAGAAGGTCAGACTCTACCATCATCAATGAAAGATCTTGGTGAAGAATTAATGCAACACTGGATGGAAATAAATCTGCTGACATTGCAGGAGCTTATTGAAGCAAAACCACAGTGAATGTGAGCTGTAATCAAAGCTAA